TTTTTTTTTCCCCCCAAGTGACTAGCCTGTTGTCTCAACTCCATTTATTGAATAATTCAGCTTTTTCTCACTGATTTGAAATATCATCCTGGTCCTTTTGTATTTGTACTTATGTCTTAGGAATTGACAGACGGGGTCTTAAAATTTGAATTTGTTCATGGATCTGTTTCTATATTCTGTCCTGCTCAATGTTGTGTCTTTTCCATGTTGTTTTGATTTCTATGTTTGTAGTTTACTTTAATATCTTGGTCAGCTAATCTTCTTTCATTACCTTTCTTCTTTAGAATTTTCCCGGCAATTTGCACATGGTTCTTTTTCACTGGACACTTAGAGTAGCTAATCTAGTTCACTTCCAAATCCCAGAAAACTCTATTTGCGTTTTTATTAGGATCACATTAAATTTATAGATCAATTTAAGGAAAATTGCTATCTTTACATAAGGCATACCTTTCTAACTATTTGAATCTTTTTAAAAGACATTTAGGATAATTTTAAAGCTTTTTTCTAAATAAAATCTTTCATGCTTCATACTTTTTGTTAAATTTATTCCTTCCTTCCATTTGTTGTTGTTGTTGATATTATAAGTGAAATCTCTCTTTCCACTAAATTTTCAAATTGGTTATTGTTTACATATGGGTAAGTTATTACTTTTTGTATTATTTTTGGAAGTTGCATTTTCTCTCTTATTATTTCTAATAGTTTTTCAGCTGATTATCTTGGACCCACTTATTAGCTACTGATATCTTTTAGATACTAACTGGTAAAGTTATGTCTTTCTCTCTCTTTTTTTTTTTTTTTTTTTTGAGACAGTCTTGCTCTGTTTTCCTCGGAAGAATGCAGCGGCATCATCAGAGCTCACTGCAACCTCAAATTCCTGGGCTCAAGCAATCCTCCTGTCTCAGCCTCCTGAGTAGTTGGAACTACACCTGGCTAATTTTTCTATTTTTAGTAGAGACGGGGTCTCGTTTTTGCTCAGACTGGTCTTGAACTCTTGACCTTAGGTGATGCTCCTGCCTGGGCCTCCCAGAGTGCTAGGATTATAGGCATGAGCCACTGTGTCCAGCTGCCTTTCTCATTTTTAATCAGTGCCTGTGCTATACCTAATGGACCCTATAGTTGTCTGTAGGAGAAAAGGAACTAAGTGCGATAGGTGCTTGTGTGAGATGCTCAACCAAAGGAGAATTAAAACAAAATGTGGATTCTGTTTATTGATGTCACAATTATGAAAAGAATCATCAGATCCATTTTATGTCAGGGGTAGTCAATGCTGGGGGGTATGAGAACACAGTCATGAAAAGAGGTTCTTTCCCTACTTTATTTTAAAAGCAATCAATGCATAGTGTCCTGATGTAAGCCATTTATAGGACAGATACTGAAAATGTTCAATATAGTGATCATCCCACACTCTCGCTGGAGAACCAAGATAATTGTTTTGGTATTTTAAGGTAGATAATACTGACCAAAGTTGAAACCAAGAAATGGTTAAAATATTACCCCAGTATGTATGAGGCTGGAACCCTAACCTGACTGTGGTCCTAATTTGATACTGTACTTTCAGTATCTGCCTCCTAAACCTTGGTCTGTAAGGTATCGGTAGATGAGTCCTGTGACGATGTCTGGGCCAGAGAATGGTTCCAGAACCTCTGCATCTGGAGCCAAGCACAGAGAGGAGGCCAGGACAACCCAAGTACTGAGCCGAAAGACACTGGGGTAAACCAGCTGAGTTTCTACCTGAATCACAGAGAGAATTAAGAGGCTAATGGACAGAGAAGATGGGTGGTTATCATCTGAGAGAAAAATGAAGATTTCAAACCACAGCCAAACCCTCTGTTTGATGGTGGCAGATTGACACGTTGCTACCAAAAGCTTCTATCTGAAGCCAAGAACCAGAAGTTGCATTGACAGCAGTCCACAGGCTTGCCCTGTCCACACTGAGGGGACTGCTCACTGGGCAAGAAGGAAAGGCGAATGCTGTGGTTCTCGAAAGAAAGGAGGTGGGAGGAGTTGGGGAAGATAGGAGTGTTCTAGAGATGGAGGCTGGGTGTGGGTGTGGACATGTTGACTACACGACTAGGGGCTCCATGGACCCCCAAGCTCCAGAGATGATCCCATTGTAGTCATGACTAGTGTCAATAGATGGGCTAAATCTTTTGGTTCTAAGTTTCATCTTACAGAGAGAGACCATGGAGTCAGAGTTGAAAACCTTGCTGCAGCAAGGGGACATATATGTCACCTTTATCGATACATCCTCAAGGGGTTGGACAAGACCAGTAGGTGGAATTTACAGGGAGACAGGGGTGCAGGCTTAAGATGAGGAAGAGTCCTCTGTTTTTATGTTCGGAGGGAGGGAGCTCCCCATCACTAGAGTGACTAGGCGTACATTGGGCGTCATTTGCTGGGGCCCTTGTAGAGGAGTCCAGGCATCAAATGTGTGTCTGAACCTTTTAGCCTTGATGAAATCTTTCAACCTCAAGATTCTGTGATTAAATACATGTGTGTGTATGTGTTCATGTGTACAATCTTTGTGGTTATTTATCTTGCTTATAATAACTATTACTCTTATTATACTTAATTTTTTGGAGTATGCAATAAATCCATTTATTGTATGCCAGACACTGTGTTAAGCTCTTTACACGCACTGTCTCCATGAGGTATTTACTGTCTATTTCCATTTTCTAGATAAGGCCTAAGGGAGGCGAAGAACATTTCTGAGGTCAGTCGCATAGATAGTAAGTGGCAGAGCTGGAAATCAAACCCTGCCCTGACTGCTGAGTTCCGAGCTTACTTAAACTTTCTGCTTTAAAAAAAACCAATATTACGAACTTACAATAAAGCTTATAGCAGTTTGCCAGTCTCAGGACATTGTCTACTTGTACAAAAGGAAGATTTTTTTTCCTTTTTAATTTTTATTCATTTATTTATTTTCTTGCTCTAAAGAATATTGAATCAGAATCAGATTTTGATAGAGACAAAACAAAGAATCATAGATGGTCAAGTTTAAAACAGTAAACCAGAGTGTTGTGAGACCCTAAGCAATGAAATCACAGAACATGCCAGCTGCGGGGCCACTCACAACTTGACATTAGACTGTCTATCACAGTTGGCGCAGACTTGCTGCTCATGTATTCTTTTTTTCATTTTAAAATTATTTATGGACTTAAAACCATGGTAGTTTGCAAAGGAGGATATGCTACATACTTTTCAAATAAAACACAAGCATCCAATCAGAGAGGGTGCAGCCTGCTTTCTGTTTCCTCAGAAAACTAAAAGAAGCACATTCCCACTCCCGCTAAAACTACATCTTTCTTATTCTTGATAAGGTTAAAACAGCTACACTAATTGGCTGGTTGCCATGCTAATTGTCCGAATAAGTACAAGCTTATTCATTTTGGGTGCCAATTGCACTTTTTCCATTGAAGGGAATTACTAGGATATTAGAGGTTTGGGAATACTTAAATTTTTTGAGTGTACAATAAATCCAAACATTTATCATATGCCAGGCACTGTGTTGAGCTCTTTACACACACTGTCTCTAGGAGGTATTTACTGTCAGGTGGTTCCAGGAGGAAGGACAGGATTACCTCAAGGCCACATGTGGCCCCCTGGATCCCCAAGTGCAGCCTCTCAACTGAATCCAAACTTCACAGAACAGTCCCTTTATTAAAAAGATTTGTTCTTTAAAATTTGGATTCAGTCAAAAGGCCGCACTCAAGGATCCAGAAGGCCACATGTGGCCCCAAAGCTGCACGTTCCCCACCTTTGGTTGCTAGAAGAAGGGATGAGGGGATGGAAGAGGAAGGAACCAGTGAAGTAAGAGTTCATTGAACAAGAAGCAAATTAGGGGCAGAGTGAGGAGAGGTGTGATGGTAAGGTAAGAGACAAGGAGGAAGCATTGCTTGATGAAGCTCACAGCCAGGACCCAGAAACACTGACTATGGCCCTGGGCCACCAGCAGAACTGCAGTTCAGCACTGCCCAAGGCCCCTGGTCTGCTCAAGCCAGGGGTCAAGGTTTTCTCTATAAAAATTTGGGACTAGAGGCAACTCAGCCAGGATGACGACCATCCCACATCAGTGCACTTGAAATTGCATCTTTCACAGACCTCTTGGGGGATATCATTAGAGACAAAAATTTCAAAATAAAACTTTAATGAGGCCAGGCACAGTGGCTCACACCTGTAATCCTAGCACTCTGGGAGGCGAAGGCAGGAGGATTTCTTGAGGTCAGGAGTTCGAGACCAGCCTGAGCAAGAGCGAGAGCGAGGCCCCGTCTCTACTAAAATGGAAAAATTAGCCGGCTGTGGTGGCGTGCACCTACAGTCCCACTACTTGGGAGGCTGAGGCAGAAGAATCACTTGAGCCTAAGAATTTGAGGTTGCAGTGAGCTATGATGATGGGTGACAGAGGGAGACCTTGTCTCAAAATAAATAAATAAATAAAATCTTTAATGATGCTCAGAAAAGGGGAGTAAGACGTAGCACCCTGAGGACCTCCTTGTCCCCACTGCAGGGAGATTTGGATGGCTGCCCGGCTGTCTGCCCGAGGGATGAGACTATGTGTGACCCTCGCACTGCAAGATCATGGGCTCGCCTGAAGCACTTAAGGCCTTCTAAAGTCCTCCAAAGACAGTCCTGCCTTCTGCTCTCAATGGCCTATAAAGGATAGAGCTCTCTCCAGCTGCCGTATCCCTGGGCAGGTGGCTCTGCCTTCCGCTCAGCCTCTGGGCTTCCTTCCCACACTCAACCCATCCAGCCCTTGAGCCTTGCTGGGGTAGAAAGGCTTATTTCTCTGTTCAGCCTTCTGGCCCATTCCCTGCTGCAGAACCGTCTTGATGCACTCAGAGGAGAGCCTCCTCACCCCACCTCGCCCCACAGCCCTCACCCTCCGCTCCCCACCCACCACATCCCCACGCAGCCAGAATCAAAGCCATGGTCCGGGGTCCCCAGGTGGTGGGGAACAAAGCCTAAGGCTCAAGAGGTTGAAGAAAGGCCTGAACACTCACCAAGTGCAGGGTGTCGGCTTTCTGTGTCTGCCTCTGTCGGCTCTTCTGGGCTGCAATGCGATTTTTCTCTCTTCTCTGAACTTTTCTCACATCATCGGATGAGTCCTGGGAAGCAGAGATGGTGAGGGTTACGCAAGTCTGCTCCTCTGTTCTGAATTTCAGCAGGCTCCCGTGGTGTGCGGTGTCCATCTACCCATCCTTCCCTGGCTTCATCCCTATTTGCCAAAAGCCTGCACCCGAAGGGGAGCTGTCCCCCATGCCCTGTTATACATCCTCAGGTCTCTAGGACTTTTTTTGGCCAAAAGCTACAGGAAAAAGGCAAGAGATCTTGAAGCCTCAATAGGGCTGCATTCAGCACAAATGGTTAAGGCGATGAAGTGTGTTTTATCGCCTCTCTTCCTCAGGGCTGCTCCACCCTTACCCTGTCATTTTTTGGCCTAGAATCTTCTTGCTGTTCCTTTAGCTGTTTTCTTTTTCTCAAAGCCTTGTTGAGCACCTGCTATGTGCCAACCTCTGTGCAACTGCTCTTTCAGAGGCGCTCTTGCTGAATTCCCTAAGCTGTGATGTCAGTATCATTATTTCCATTTTATATATGAGGAAACTGAGGCCCTAAGGGCTTGTGCAGAGGCTCACAGTCACCGGGGAGTGTTATATCACCTGTCCCGAGTGTGATGCCTTTCCAAGAACCCCTGCCACCCCGACTAGCCGCATCGCTGCTTTGTACCCCATGTGGTCTGCTGCTGCATCCTGAGCTCGGGGCCCTTCCCAGATCTGCCTCCTCTTCCCCCTCGCTCACTTCCTTGTGCTCAGCCACCTTTGGCGGCCCCAACGAGCACACCACCTAATAAAAACCAGACGCCAAGAAGAACAATGTTAATGGCGGAGGTGGCCTGGATGTGGCAGGCAGTGGATGGGTGCTTGGGAGGATGGGGGCCCTTTGGGTGTTCTCTAATTACACCCCAGGGATGGGCATGTCCTCTGCTCGGGCAGAGGTTAGCTCCAGCTCTCCCCCAGAGGCTGCCGGAGAAGTGTAGGCATTTGCGTGAAACACTTCGGCAACTCTTGCCCTGTTCCCTTTCACGTCCCCCACGGGCTAGAGGGGACAGATCCTAGGGCAAGGCTCTGGACTCATCAAGCACGTGTCTCACCGACGTGTCCCATACTTCCAGGACATTGCAGAAGGAAAGCATTGGGTTAGATAGGGAGGAAGTGCTCTTCCTCTAAGGGGGATGGGGCACCAGGTTACCATGGAAGCCATGAGTAATTTCCTTCCTAAGAAGAGCACAAACTTCCAGGCAGTCAGAGCCACTCTGATACCATCTTGGGCAGAGGACTAGATTGTTTGCCCTCTAGAGGTCTCCACTCGGGCTCTTCCAACCGCTGCTCTGTTGTTAGCTGCTTATGGGAGATGCTACAGCAGATGCTTATATGCTTTTATTTTGGCTGCAGCATTTTGAAAGCCCTGCTAGATATGTGTGCTAAGGAAAGAATGCAGATTTTAAGCCACAAAGGTGGAGAAGATTTCAGTCCACTGATTACATTGGCTGAGAAAGAATGGGACTCCCTACAGCAAGGAATATCAAGAGTGTGGTGAAGAGAAAGCCCTAGAAGCAGAGGTGGTCAGGTGCTCCATTTTTTTGAAAACCCTGAAGCTAAAAACTTTTGACTTGGAAGTCAAAATCTAGATTTCCAATGCCTCCAGAATTCCTACCTCAATCTCCCTGGTTTCCCCAGAGCTGAGATAAACTGCTAGCAAATGTCTCTAACACATTTCCACAGCCACCTGCTCATTTATTTCCTTCCTCCTGTCCAGACGCCACAGGGGAAAGAGGTATCGGCCACGGCTCTAGCATCCTTCCTCACTGGCTGTGCTAGCAACAGAGGCAGCGCCCCAGCAGACAGATCCTTCTGTGCTAGCCGGGGTGTTCCTCTTCCCTTCCTCCTTCTAACTTGCACTTGTTAACTGGCCTTTTTTTATTTTTATTTTTTTAATTTTTCCCTGACCCCTTTTCTCTCCTGCCCTGCTGGCTGTCTCCTGGGAAACTACATATCGAGGATTTGGGTTGTGTCTGCCGGCAGCCCACTTGAAAACTCCTCCTCTCACGTTTCTACTGCCTTGGAGAACAGGAGACCCTTTCCTCTGGGTTCTTTGATGTTCATCCTCCTCTTTGCTTCCTAGAAAGCTTCAAGGGCTGGGAACCCTGGTGAGGCAGAGGCGATGGGCACCATCGCGGGTGGACAGGAAAAGGGCTTTGGCAGAATGGGTGGGAGGATGAGGGTCTCCACGAATGTGCACAGCTTCATTGCAAATGCCATGTCTTAAGTCTAGTAGCGCGCTCACGCCACAAGCCACTTCCTCGCTCCTCAGCTCTCTGGGCAGGACAAGGAAGCCTGCCACTCTTCCTGTCCCCCAGAAGAATCGGAAGGTATGAGAGAGAGAAAGGAGGACTCTACCTGTTTGCCAGGAGGGGGAGAGCGGCTGAAGCTGGAGTCGCTGCTGTCGGAGCTGTGAGGCATGGCTGAAATCTTCCGGGCTCTCACACACAGCCCCAGGCTCCTCTGGGCTCTCTTGTCACCAGCTGGCCTTCCTTCCTGACTGTTCCTGGGCCCCCAGCCCCCCACCCTCCACAGCTGCCTCCTCTGCCTGCCCTGCAGCCACCTCCGACCCCTGCGTCCTCCTTGCTCTGGGGTGCAGGGGGACTGCTCCCCACAGGGACATGTCGCTCTCTTCGGGGCTTGCGCGCACTCTCTCTCTTGTGGTTTCTGGTAACTCACGCTGGAAGTCACATGGGCGGAAACTTCAAGTTAGAAGTTAGTTTGAGAGAAAATACATATCTGGGAAAAGACCTACAGAATTATGTGAAAGAAAAAAAAATACACAAAACCCCAGATACCTTCCGACAGTTTGAACGGCAGAGCAGCTCCCTTCAATTGATGAAGATAAAAGAGAAAAACAGCTCAGGCAGGGAAAAACCCCAGCCAGAATTAGCAAGTCTGTCTTCTGTCGACATGGGCCGAGAGGAGAGGACCACTGGGAAGAAGTTTCCATTGTCACAAGACTTCATGTTTAAATCAAAATAAAGCGGTGAGACTGGGATTTCTTTCTGGTTTTCCGCTGAAAGCAGCTGCCCATCCTTTTCTCTTGTGCCGGGCTTTCCTCATTCTGGGTCACAGTCCAGCCAGCCTCAGGGAGCCCTGGGAACACAGTGACCCAGGACATGCTCCTCCCCGACTGCGGACAGGAGAGGCGAGAGGCCGTGGTCGGGCTGAAAGCCACAGGGGTGGCCCTGGAATCGCTGCTCTGAAAGCTCATTCATCACCGGTGCCTCTTGGCAGAGTGTTTCACTCTCTTTAGAGAAAAGATGCCCTCTATGTTGAGGGTCTTTCAGGAGCTCAAGGTGGGCCCCGGATCTTTCTGATTCAAGGTCACCAGGTCACAGCCCAGAATAGAGGAACAGTAAATAATAGTAAAACAACCACTGCACTTAGAGTCAGCCCGACCACAATTTGAATTCTGGCTCCACCACTTTGTCTGTGGCCTTGGGCACCTCATTAGAGCTCTGGGACCCTCATTATTTTTATCTGTAAATGGAGGATGATAAAAGCTGCCCTGCCTACCTCTTAGAGCTGTTGCAAGGAATAAATGAGCACCCAGGTTAGAAGGCCCTGAGCAAAGTGTAAGTATGCTACCTGCCCTGGCTGTGACTTGCAGGGTACTCCTAGCCTTGCCTGAGTACATCGGGAGAGTTCTCTGGGAGCAATTCAACTCTCAGCCGGGCACTTGGGCTTTTTAAAAAGGTACTTTGCCTTATTCCCAGTATGCCTCAAAGCCAAATGCTCGCTTGATTAATTTTAGGGTTGACAGGACGTTATGGCCCCTAAAGGATGTTTGTATCCGCTGGCTGAATTTCTACCCTAAGACAGTATCGTCCTAAAGGTAAATGGAGCAAAACAACATTCCTTTCCTATGGGGAAAAATAAAGCAGGGCTGTGGGTTAAGGGATACTGCGGGCCAGTATGGTGGTCAGGAAGGCCTTGATGAAAGGGTGACATCTGGCAGAGACCTGGAGGAAGCGAGGGAGTGAATGATGTGGGTGTCTCAACGAAGAACATTCCAGGCAAGGGGATCAGCCAGGACCTGAGGCTGGAGTGTGCCTGGAGCGTTTGAGCGACAGCAGGGAGGCCAGGCAAGCTGGACCAGGGAGGCAGGAGAATGGCAGGAGATGAGGTCAGCGAGGTAACAGGGGCCTTGGAGGCCACTACAAGGATTTTAGCTTTTATTCTGAAAGAAACGGGGAGCCTGTGGAGGAACCACCCTCCCACCTCCACTCTTATTCTCAACCTCAGCTACTGTTCATTTCCTCCATAACACTCATCAGATTTTGTAATTATTTCATTAGTTCACTGACTTGTTTTTTTCCTGTTCTCTCCTTAGAATGTTAACACCATTTATGAATTTATTAATTTATTCAACAGATGTTCATTGAGCATCTACCATGTGATTCTCTAATCACTAGGGGATACAGTTAGTAAAACAAAAAAGTTTGATTTTCTCCCTGAATGAGATGGTGTTATCTATCAGTTAGCTTCTGCTGCCTAATAAACCACCAGAAACTCAACAGCTTAAACTACTTATTCAGGTCATGAGTCTGTAGGTCAACTGGAAGGTTCATCTGGTAGAGGCTAAGCTATTCCTGCCAGGCTCAGTCGTGTGTCCTCAGGTAATGGACTGGCCTGGGATGGCCTTGCCTGGGGCAGTTTCCTCCACATGGTCTCTCACCCCCTGACAGGCTTGTCTGAGCTTGTCCCCTCCATCGCAGTGGCAAGATTCCAAGAGTAAGAGCAAGCCAGGCTCAGAAATAGCACAAGGTTCCATTTGCCACATTCTGTTGGCCAAAGATCAAGGCTAGCTGAGACTCAATAGGTTGAGAAATAGACTCCCCCTCTTGATAGGAGAAATTTAAAGAATTGTGGCCATTTCTACAATCTCCTAAAGATGAGAAGCCCTTGGAGGTTTCATAGCAGGGGAGTGACATGCTTTAACTTAGGTTTTCGTGGGATCTCTCTGGACACAGTTGAGACTTTACTGCAGGGGAGCAGAGTGGAAGTAGGGAGACGAGTTAGGATCACAGCAGGGGATTATTGCAACTACCCAAGCAAAAGATGTTGGTGGCATAGACCGGTTAGGTAACGATGAAAGTGCTGAGACATAGGCCATGTAAAAACCAGACGGTGTCTCTCTTATTTACAATCATATGCCCAGTGCTTAGTAGATGCCTGATAAATAATTGCCAAATGAATTAAAGGTATGAATGAATTCCCATACAACTTTGCTCATAATTTAGAGCACTTGTGACCTGCATCGTCTTATATCTTCTCTCACCCTTAGAATGTTGAGGCTCATGTTCTTTAAGGAAAATAATAATTCTGTTTTATTTGTTTAAATTAACATTTCTTTGTCACTTATTATATAGCAGAAATCATAAACATGAATACGACAGAGATCCTGCCCTCATAGAAAGAAGGGAACGCAGTCAAATGAGCAAACAGGTTATTTTAAGTGTTGTAGTGTACAGATGAGGCTCTTAGCTCTTCAAACACCCTATCATTCAACAGTAAACACCTGTTGAATGAATGATTGCTTGATTCTGTGGTCCCTAATCAATATACTGATTTCACATTTAACAGAGACTAATAGGAAGATAAATGCAAAATGCTTACATAGAAAGATGGGCTGCATTTAATAGTATTAATTATAAATTATTTTAAAATATTTAAGATTAAAAAATGATAACCACTTATGGGGCCACCATTAAGCTTAATAAATAAATTATCAATAGAGCTGAAGGTCCCTCTTCCTAATTCTATTCCCTCCTCATCCCAGGCAACCCATTATCCAGAATGTGGTGTTTATCATTCCTGCACATTTTTCTATACTTGAACCACATTTGTCTGTGTACCTAAATAGAACATAGTGTTGTCCTGCATGATTTCAAACTGTTTACATTGTTAATACTGTCTATTTGGTTTCTAACACAGTATCCAAATGATACCGGCAGGGCTTGTGGGGTAGAGGCATCCCAGTGAGGTTATTCTGGAGAACTCCATAAAGCTACCAAGCAACACCTATAATAAAACAAGCATCCGCTCCATTAGCTTCAGCCCAAAGCCTAAGGATAATGCTAAGGCAGCATTTGCTGGATGCCACAATCCCTTATGCTGACAGCTGCTGACAGCTGGCTCATACAGGGCCCTGGTACAAATTAGAAAACAGTGCCACCTAGGTAGGTGACCCCACATTGAAGTGCATGGCCTGGAAAGCCCCACTCGATCTCTCAGGGGGGAGCCCTTGAAGAGTGAACAACCTGCACAACTAAACCCAACCTCCCAGCCATATATTACTTACTATGTACCAGGAATAGTACATGAATTGACTCATTTAATTCTCACAAGTCATAGGAGGTAAGTACTATCCGTCCCCCCATTTTATGTATGTGGGGTACTGAGGCACAAGGAGCTCAGTAACTTTCCCAAGGCCATAGAGCTTGTAAAGAGGGTGGAGGTAGGACTCGAACTCAGGCAATTTGGCTCCAGAGTCTATGCTCTTAAGCACCACGCTTTACTACCTCTCCTTTGAATTTTCCCACGGCCTCTACAGAGCAGGCATTATAATTAGATTCTCAAATTTATAGATAAGACAAGTAAGGCACAGGGCATTTGATAATTTGCCCAAGGTCACACAGCTGGCAAGTGGCAGAGCCAGGATCTGTACTCAAGCAGTCTGACGTACTCGAGCAGTACTCTACTGCCAAGATGCTATCCAGCTCCACGCTGTTGTTAGAAAAATGCCAAGAAATCACCATACTCCAAACCTCCTGCCATTGGATTATTTTATTAAGCTTGGAACCCTTGTAATTGCAGTAATAACTTTGGTGGAACTTAAATATAGCTATTTTACTTGGTATAAACTTTATAGAAACACATGCAGGAAAAAAAGTTCAAAAGATCGCTCCAATTTTGACTAATGAAGGGCAGGGGAGTGTAGGATGGGGAGGAGCATATGGATTAAAATTCTGAATTGCCTAAAGTTTTTTGAAAGAAATAGAATTGTATTCCTTTGGGATAAAAGACTCCTCAAAAGGTTCTATGAAGTTATGGCATTGTAAGAGTAACTCAGAGTCTCCTGTATGAGTTACCTATTTGCTGTACAACAAATTACCCTAAAACTTAACGACTTTGAACAATAAACACCTATTATCTCCCACAGTTTTTGAGGGGCAGAAATCTTGGAACTCCTTGGCTGGCTCTGGCTCAGGGTCTCTCATGAGGTTGCAGTCAAGCTATCAGCCGGGGCTCTCATTGCCAGAAGACTTGCCTGGAGCTGGAAGATCCACTTCCAAGATGGCGCCCTCATGGGGCTGCTGGCAAGAGGCCACAGTTCCTCTCTAGGTGGGTCTCTCCACAGGCCTGCCCCAGCGTCCCTGTGTCATGGCAGCTGGCTTTCCCCAGAGTGAGCAACAAGAGAGGGGGCGGGGGATGGAGTCACAGTGCTTTTTAACTTAGTGCCCATCTTTGTTCTATTCATTAGAAGTCCAGCCCACACTGGAGGAAAGGGAAATGAGCCTCCACTTCTTGAAGGGAGGAGTATTCCAGAACTTATGGGCTTCTCCTAAAACCTCCACATTTCCCAAACTGATTTCCGAGGGGACATTTAGCTAGATGCAAGCAACCTGATATGACATGGGGGCGGTGGGGGAGGTGAAGAGG